AATATAAAAAGATTTTGTTTAACTTCCACAAAAATTTTTATTAGCAATAAATTATAGATACAACAACATTAATCTTTTATCCCACTACAGTAAGTTGGCTACGTGAATCCTTCTTCTCCATTGAATCATGTGAAGAGTTAAATTCTCATCTAAATCTAATTAAAAAAATGTCATTTCTAATATATTCTAACCAAGTTTTTTTAGATCTATCTCTACATTTCTTAACATAGGACAAATTTAATACATCTACTCTCCTAACCGAGTCATCAGAAGACCGATGCAGTGCCTGGACTTTTTTATGTGTTCATTTTCTAGATATTGCTATATGTTTAATTTACTCTCTCAACTCATCAAACAGGAGTCAATTTAATCCTACGATCAGCTTTGTCATCTCTTTGGAAAAAAATTGGTGAAGTTTTTCATGAGAGCATTTTGAACTTTTTAAGGCTAATCTCATTAATTTGAGGTGGTGTTAAGTAGTAAAATTTACCTTTAAAAAGTCCAAAATAAGCCCAATTTTGCCCAAAATAATGGCAAACTTGATAATATAATCAAATTTTTTTCAATTTTACTGAGGCGAGGGACTAAATTTAACACAAGAAAAATTATAATGCTAAAATGAAACACTAAAAAGCTTATGAACAATTTTTGTCATTTACTCAATAAATGATGGACTGAACCTTTAAATATTAAGCCTTTCAGGAGTTGCACTGCAACCTCACTTATGCCGTATTCATCTCATTCCAAACCTACGTCGCAACTCACATGCGCTGTGGAAACCTCCCTCAAGTCCAATGTAACAAATCATCTGCATTGCAATCAGCTCCATCAAGACCCACATCACAACCCTGCTTATGTCATACTCGTCTCATTCCAAAGTTGCATCATAACCTTGCCTACACCATGATAGTCTCCTTCATGACCCAAATTGCAAATCAGCTAGTGGCACAATTGTCTCCTTCCAGAGTAGCAACACAACCATCCCCTTCAAGACATATGCAACAACCTTACTTGCATTACGATTGTCTATTTGAAAACATGAACCACAATTGCACAAGTTCTCTTGCACCACATTCATCTCCTTCTAGACTTGCACCATCTCCTTTTAGATTTGTGCCGCAAACTTGCTTGTGTCATGGTTGTTTACTTCAATACCAACATTGCAACTTTGTTGCACTGCAACAAACTCCTTCCATACTTGTTGTGCTTCCTAACTTGTATGAGTTGTATCACAACCATCTACTTCAAAATTCCCTTGAGTCGCAATCACGATTATATAAAAAATGCCTCCTCCAAGACCTATGTCATAACCTTACATGCACCACAACTATCTCTTTTAGACTTGCACCACAACCTCACTTGCATTGCAACAATATCCTTTCACACCTTCATTGCAACCTCACATTTGCTGCAGCTATCTTCTTTAATACTTGTAACACAACCTTGTTGTATCACAATCATCTCCAAAAAAGCCAACGCCACATCTATCTTTAGCTAATATAACATGAAGGTCACCTCCAGTTATGTGGTAGCCATTGTCATAACATACATCATTCACAACCAACACATGTGAAAAGCTACCTTTATGCCCATTGGCTTTGCCTTTCCAATTGCCTAAGGGGGGACTTGTACCTAAGTTTCCCCAATTACTTGGAAATGGACAATCCTTGTAGCATTCTTCTTAACATAGTGATTGTTCAATTACACTAAGCCCTAAACTTCTTCTCTTCCAATATTTTCTACATTAAAATCTTGTATTCATGTCTCTCATATATTTCACCAGGGGTGTCAATTCGGGTCAACGGGTCAGGTTCAGGTCCAACCTGCATTAACCCGGATGTAAATGAGTTGATCCTAACCCGACCCGTTTAGCTAGACGGGTCAGGATATACAACCCGGGCCCGACTCGTTTAACCCTTAATATTTACAATAGTGGGTCATTTTAGCAAAGAAGGTAAGCTTCAACTACTTACAATAGCGCATAATTATGACAGTTCATTGGTAAAGAAATAAGAACTAATATGATAAATCTATAAAAATATAAACAGGTCTTAAAACACACCGCAGAAAAAAATTAACAGAAACTAAGCATATATGCTGCTATTGGCCCACAAAGTAAAATTTTTAAGGTATAAAACAAGGAAAAACAAGCCATACCCTCAACCCCGGAGTGGAATATGCCAAAGCCTGCCCAGTAAACATAACCATTCAAGGGCGTCAGGTCATATACATTCAGATAAATGGAGGCATTCCTTGTTGTTTGACCAGCTGTACAAACTTTCATGAGCATGCAAAAGCAGGTGTCAGATTTCCAGCCCAACCGTAATGGCATAATGGACTTCAAACTCTTTTTCAAATCTGACTTCATATTCCTTCAATATAAGAAATAAATAAATAAATCAAAACTGGCCAGATTAAGCACAATCATAACAGTTTTTTTTTTTCAGCGTATCCTCTCTGCCAAAGAAATTCTAAAGCAGCACTTGATAATTTGAAAAATATTCATTTTTTGGGCATGTTTAGCTGCGAGTAGGATTTAATAAATCTTGTAAATCAGGATATACTGAATCCAATGTGGGTTAAAATCTGAAAACTATTTGGTATGATAGATTTTAAATCCATATAAACCGTTTTGATACTTATTTCAGGATTTAACAATTTATATAATTTTTCTTTGCTTATACCGCATTTACAGAAAGAAACAGAACGCATCCACTCACTAACTGGCCAGCAAATCCAAAGGGTAAAAAAGAGGCATCAAGAAGCAAAACAAAGAGGTTATCACGATAAAATCTAAGCAAAAGGGAAAGTAAGAAAAGCCATTAGTGAAAGAATTGCAGCCAGTAAACAGAACTCACCCATTCGGAAAAAACCACTTCACCGACCCAAAATGCTGCTTACGCGCACTCCTTCCCCCCGCCACTGCGGCGACCAAAGCCCTCTTTATTGAAGAGTAGCAATTAGTAGTGGTAGCTGAAAGGGAAAACCATCGGCCGAGGCATAAACAGGAAAACAGTACCGCCAATCCCATATAAGATACAGGAGAACGCTATATGCCTATATCGCTGAAATGAAAAATCCCACTTTTTCGCCCCATAAAAAAAAAAAACAGAAGTTGCTCTTGGAGCTCCCTAAGAAGGACATCTCCAACCGAAAATCTCATTTTTTCATTTCAAAATACAGTGAAATCAAAAGATGCTGTGATTCATCTCCAAAGGAACACCATTTTGCCACGTAAACCGTAGTTCTCTTCATTCGCGCCTTTTTCCTAAAGTTCGGTATAGATAAAAGAATGGCACAGATGAACAGTGCAACATCAATATTGGCATCGCACTGTTCATCTGCTATCAAATGACGTTCGGTTGGAGCAAAGCAAGAACGGCAAACAAGTATTTGCCTTTCGGTTGGAGATGCCCTTAAGGAGCAGAAGTAGCCATCCCACCTTCTGGCATCCATTCTATCGAGATAAATCCTAAACCCTAGCTCCTAGATCTAAGATTGAATGTGCTTGGTGTGTGATGTGTTTTTGAACGTTAATATAGGCTACCCCATCTTTTTTAATCAAGTTTTTTAAAGTTTCATGCCGTTTAAAATACCCTACATTATGATTAAAATGCCTTTTTAGTTTAGATTTTCGTTCAATTTTTAGTCTTTCAAATTAGATTATGGGACTAACAAATGAAGCCTAAATCTACTTAAATTATGTCTATAATAAAATGTCAAATACCCTTATATAGAGAAATAAATGAATAATCTATTAAATTTATGAATATATGAAATATTAATCACTATTGTTGCGTCCTGAAATATTCACGACGGTAGAGAACTATATAGTTTATTGTCTTATCGTTGTACGAAGATCCAACACACAAGCAAATACGAGGGAGGGTGTAACGTTTATAAGAGACACTAGAGTTTTTACGTGGAAACATTGAAAGGGGGAAAAACCACGGGGTCTTTGCCTTGGGGGTCCCTTTCAAGAGAAAAGGGGCTCTATTTTATGGATTTTTGGAGTGACATGACCCATAAATAGGTGAGAGATCAAGGGCAAATAAGAGTGGTTGGATGGACGGTCGATGTTGAATTCCTTAATCATGAACTGTTTGATGGATATTTGAAAGTCTTAGTGATGTCGGAATTTGGTGATCTTGGGCTCGTTGGATTCGTCTCGTCTAGCCGCTCGATTTGACTATATGCATGTTATGTTTGGAAACCATTTGGTAATCCAAATTGTGGTTCGAACATTCCAACGACATTTCTAACCCTTGATTTGGACTCATTTGGGCTCGGATTGGATTGGATTTGGTGTCCTTGGGTTCGTATTTCCGAGACGTTTATTTCAACTATAAATTTGCTGAAATCGGAGTATGGATGATCCCAAATTGAATTTTTGAAGTTTTCAACTTAATTTTGCGTCGAGATTTGTGACCGATCAAGATAATTTTTTGATGATATATCAACTATACTAAAACATTCCTTGCATTCAAAAATTATTCATAAGAAACAAATTCATGCAAAATAGATTAGCGAAATCTTGATTATTTATAAAATTGATTCCCTCTTATTTTAAATTTACAATTTTATACCAAAAAATCACAATTCATCTATCTCGCTTTTTGTCAAATATATAATTATTTGATCCTGAAAAAAATAAATATTAATTTTATTAAAAAAATGATATATACAAAGATAAATAAATTAAATTTGAGTGGGCTGAAATATTATTTGTTTTTTGCCGCCTTTCACGACCTTTCCGTTTAGGGTTTCGTTCTTGCGGGAGATCACAGTGGGCTTGCACAATGTGTCAAGGCATGACCATGAGTCGACATTGGGGGTGGCGTTCTTCTCCATATTGAAAACAAGGACGGCATTTTACTGTAAATTTTCTATTATTTTTTTTGTTTTATGTAACTTTTCAAGCTAATGAAGATCCTCACTGCATGATGCACGGCTGACATGGAAGGTGAAAGGAAGAGAAGTAACTATGGAGGTAAGTGTCTTAATTGCAGTAATATCAATGTTTTGGTCAAATTACATTGATAATTGGTTGAGTAGAGCAGATCACGTTCTTCCAAATTGAGTATTTTCTTGATATCAACTCCTGTGCTTAATGAATCAAATTACAAATTTCAAAGCAAGTTCAGATTCGGAGCAATACGACTAATCTTGAATCAAAACCCTCGGATTGGACGCCGAACATTTGTTTGGGCTGGGGTATTCCATTTTTCCCAATTATACTGAAGTTGAATTCCATTTTCATCACAAACAATAAGAGAAAATGGTGAAATAATACCAAAAGACCTCAAACCTAATTATTTAATTATGTTTACGGGCTTTATTACATATGTTCAAAGCTCAGACTTTACATAACAATTAAAATGAGGAACATTTCATATTATGCATCATGTAATCTTGTATTTGTCAGCCTCTGAAATTGAATATACGCACCGTGCTGGGGTTGCAGTGTGAGCAGCAGCATAGGAGCATGAACATAAGAAGAAGAGATTTTAAAATTGTAATGCTGAAGAATTATTGCGAGTGCTAACTTTGCTTCCATCATAACCAAGTTCTGACCAATACAGATTCTTGCTCCTAATCCAAACGGAACAAATGCAGCCATATGCCTTTTGGTATCTGAGAACCTCAGTGGATTGAACTCATTTGCATCCTCCCCCCAAATCTTAACATCATGATGTATGGCTAAAATTGGGATGTATAGCTGTGTTCCTGCAGGAATATTAAGGGCTCCTAGCTTTACATTTTTGCATGTTTTCCTTGTTAGTGATACAACTGGCGGGTATAAGCGAAGAGTTTCGCACAGTATCATATTTACCTGTTGTTAATCAAAGAAGGCGTTTAGAGATAGAAGAATGCCTGAACATTTATGTGTTATGGCATCATCAAAGATAGCAAGAACATAAACACACTTGTATCATGTATCATATATGTGCTATGAGCGGTTGTCTCAATTAATATTTTATTATTTAATATAATTTAAAACTGCTATTGTTCTGAAAATTGATGTTAAATAGTAAATTTTAGCTATTTTCCTTAAAAAATATGACTAAAAGGAACATTCTAGAGTCACATGTTTTATCATTTAGTAATATATATGTTTTTAAATTATTGTTATTCTTTGTATGAATTGAGAGTTTAGTCATGATTTTTTGCATAAAAGTGTGATTAAATAGTTACGGGGATATTTCAGTTGATCATTATAGTATTATATAAACTGATAATTACGCCATAAACATATATTTCATCAAGTTAGTATAAGCTGCTTCCATGATTGCTGCTTTATCACTTTCTCAAGATGGTTATTCTGACTCGTTGCATCATCGGCCTCATTCTAACTATTGGTGACCGGCTTTAGTAATCCTTGTATTTTATTCCTTATTTACCTTTATTTTTTGCAAACTTTGATGCATAAATTTAAGTCTAAGAACATTAAACTGCAGATTATGATGGCCGAATTCGGTGTTCTATTAATTGCAGGATCAAAACCCACTCCAAATCATTACATTAAAATTTTTGTTTTTTTTCAGAATTGTCAATTTCCTTGCCATTGTTTATAATGGTTGTATTTCCAACTTCTCATTATTTTTTGTCGACATTTGCCTTGATCTATCTTTTTCTACATTATTCTTCTGCAAGTATTTTAAATTAAATGCGATTCTAGTTATAAATATAAATTTTCTCAAATTAAAATTAGAAACATCAAATAAAAGCTGAAAACTTACAAGATTAAGCTTGCCCAAGTCCTCAGCCTCAGGAACATGTTGCTGACCACAAATTTTAATGACTTCTTCACGCACTTTTTGCTGCCAATCTGGGTATGATGCTAGCAATATTAGCACCCATGTTAAGAAGTTAGCACCAGTTTCTTTCCCAGCAAAGTAGAATGCTTTACATTCCTCTATGATTTCTTGTGTCTCAATTCTCTCTTCTTGCTTTTGATGTTTTTTTGCACATATCATAAGATTAAGAAAATATCTAGAGTTTTTATCAGTATCTTGGTTTGATTGAACTAGTTTCTTTAATAATGCTTCTATCTCCTTGTCTATACTCCACATTCTTTTATTTGACTCTGTAGGTAAGAATCTGTATCCAGGAAACAGCAGAAATGTTAATAAAAATCCGTAAAAGAATGATAATATTTACAATAATTTATGGAAGATGACAACCAAGTGATTCAGCAAGCTAAAAAGTAGGGTTTCATTGGGCATCACATGTCTTCTACTTTCCTTTTTATAATTCTTGAATAAAATGCATCAATGTGTTAGAATTTAGAAAAATGAGATTAAGAGTTCAATATTATTAAGAGAAACGGAGAAGCGTCCCAAATTGAGCCCAATACATTTGTATTTTAGCGATCTCTCCTCATGTGAGAGTCATCCACTTTGACCATTTTTCCCTCTCCAAAAGAAGTTTTTCAATGTGTTGAAATGGTATGCATGCAAAGCCCATTCAATCATATGGAGATAGCATGGAAGATATCTTCAACTTTAGCCATGGTAGAAAGCCATGGTAACATGGTTGTGCCTGGAGCCGGCGGCCTGCTGTGATTGGCGGTGGCGGGTGGTGGTGGCATTGGTTGGCGGCAACAGGTGATGGTGGCCGACGGCGATAGGCAAACAATGGTGGGTAATAGTCGACAGTGGGTTGGCGATGGAGACGGTGGACGTCGATGGTGGTTAAGCAAGCTTTGGAGGGAAAACAATTCTCCTTCAAAAAATGGCCGGAATACATTGCATTTACTTTACTTCACTTTGGATTTGCTTTTCATCCAACCAAACACCAAATATTCCAAAACCTATGTATTTACTCTACTTTACACTATAAAACATTCAAACCAAATAGCCCGTGAATAGCTATCCTATGTAATCCTATTTGAACCTCAGAGCATTTGTATAAAAAATGTTTAATGTGTTTGTTCCAAGAATTGTTTTTGAAGGATCATGTGATTCAGATTGGAATTCAGCAATTATGAAATAAATTAATGCTTTCAAAAAAAAAAAAAAAAAACTTGGAGTATTATTGATGTAGCAAAGGACAAGAAACCAATTGAATGCAAATTGATGTTTATAGGAAGGTACAAAGCTGATGGCAATGTAGAAAGATATAAAGGAGAATTTGTATCGAAGGAAGGGATTTACTCAGACATATGAGATAGACTACTAAAAAATATTTGCTCTTGTGGTAAAAATCATCTCCATTCGAATAGTTCTATTTATTGTTGTTAACTCCAATTGGCCCTGTCATCAATTTAATGTTAAGTATGTTTTTCTGAATGGATACAAGAAGTCTATAAATTTTCCCATCTGACTTTGAAAAAATCCTTGGAGGAGGTAATGTGTGCAAGCTAAAGAAAACTTTTTATGATCTAAAACATTCCCCTAGAGCCTCGTTTGAACGATTTGGAGATGTGTTTTGGAAACTTGGTTTTATACAAAGGCAAGCTGACCACACATTATTCTTTAAGCATTCGGTTGGAGGAAAAATAACAAACTTAAGCATATATGTTAATGACACAATTATATCTAGAGATGATCATAATAAGATTAGTAATTTGAAGGGGAAGTTTGATGTCAAATTTGTAATCAAGGAGCTAGGAATGCTAAAGTATTTCTTTGGGATGGAGTTTGCGAGATCCAATGATGAAATTTTTCATCAATCAATGCATGTACATCTTTGATTTACTTAAAGAAATTGGGATGACTAGGTATAAGGCTGCAGAGCTTCCCACCAAACAAAACGTAAAATTGAAAAAGAAGTGGTAAATCGTGAATGGATGCTTGACCTATTTGGATTTTATAAAACCAGATATAACATTTACTATAGGTGCAGTGAGCCAATTTATGCATGAATTGGGTTCTACTCATTTTGAAGCAATTTTTATAATTCTAAGATATCCCAAGGGAACTCTAAGAAAATGATTGTTTTGGAAAAATAGAAGCCATCTATAGATAGAAACCTACATAGATGTAGATTGGATAGGTAACATAAATGCCATAAACTCTATCTCTGGGTACTGCACATTTGTAGGAGGAAATCTGTTTTCTTAGAGAAGCAAGAAACAAAGTATAGTTGCAAGGAGCAATGCTAAAGCTGAATTTCAATCTATTGCACGGTGAACACGGATGTTGTGAAGTTTTTTTGGATAAAAAGACCACTGAAAGAACTACAGATTCCCACACAAGTGCTGTTTAAAGCTAATTGTGGTAACAAAGCCACAATTTTCTTAGCCCGTGCCTGGTTTTATATGACAAAACCAAACATGTAGAAGTGGATAAACACTTGATCAAGGAGAAAATTGATTGTAACACACTATGTAAGACTTATATATCTACCAATAGTCAAATTGTTGTTATATTTATCAAAGGGCTTTCTAAATCATGATTTGATGATTTTGTTGACAAGCAATCCATAAGTGACATCTTCATGCCAACTTGAGTGTTTGAAAACATTCAATTGCATTAATTAGTTCCATATTTCCCTACTTAATCACCTCAGAATTCCACGTCATGACCGCTCATGGACATTTCACCGCTCGAACTTTTGCACACCATATTTTTTTATTTATTTTATTTCTCTTTATCTGAAAGATTTATTTCATGTTTCAACATGTCGATTGTAAGGTCTAATATAAGAAGACCGATTCTTGTATATGTAATACAGAACATGAGAGTAATAAAAATCTATTATTTTTCCAATCTTTTACTTCTTTTATCTTCATTTTTAGATGATAAAAATTGACTTTTTTGATTTAGGTAAGTAGCATAAGATGCATTATACTTAATGGTGTAAGAATACACGTATAGCAAATAAGAACAAGTACCTATTGCTAGAAGATATGTTTGATTAACCAGAAGGGGCATTTGTATTTTCTAACATAATTATTAGTTCAAGGTGACAAAGGCGGATGTGGCTGAGACAACATTCAATATTAAGTTAGATCACCATAAGTTTCTCATAGTGCATATTTTGTGATTAATGCGCTGTCAGTGTCCATTTATCTAGATGAATTTTGGTGTTTAAATCATATATGGGCATGTTTGTGCTTATAAGTGATATGTTATATTTTTGAGGATAGAATGAAGATTGTGTTGCTCATCTGAGATTGATATTTTAGACATTTAGGCAAAATGAGCTGTGTGACAAGTTCTCAAAGTGTTAGTTTTGGCTGCGAGTAGTAACATTATTGGATCATGTAAATATGGTATTTATAAATCCTTAGAAGGTGTAGGTTGTGTAAGAGTGGCCAAGACTTACCAATATATTCGAAATACATAGGATCTTTGGTATGGCTGACTGCTATAAGAAGTTTGTGAAGGTTTTCTCTCAATTAATAGCTCTTTTAATTATATTGATATAGAAATAATGCAATTTGAGGGGGGCTAAAATGACTGCACATTAGCCTTGTCTTATAAGCCATTTTCCCTTTTCATTTTGCCTCCATAATTGTATGAAGAGAGGGAGGGAAGAGAGGGAGGGAAAGAGCGAGAGAAGGGAAGGTTTTGGAGATCCTATAGGTGATTTCATGATTCAGGCTCGTTGGGAACTTGCTCTGCTTAAGGCTACTATTACTATTTACTTCAAAAAGTCAATGATAGCTATATTTACTTGATTTCTTGTGTTTTATTTCAATGGATTATATTAACACAAGAATTTGATAATGTATTCAAAACTATCACAGTGTAGGTTTTGATATTTTTTAGTGTAGTTATTATTCACATGTAAATGTGATCGTCCCTGATTTTTCTATGGTATTTTATTTTATTACTAAATCATGCTCTAGGTTGAATATTGTTTTTGAACTATAGGATCTTATTTATTAAAGCCATGGTATTTGATGATGACTATTTATTATTTAGATAAGTTGCAATCAGCTTATAATATATTTATGGTATGCAGTTGTATTATTCATGGTGCTGTTTCTTTAGATTTGTTTTTGCATGCTGTACAATGTTATAACACTGTCATTGTCAGGTATCAAGTCATGGATGAGAAAAGTGAAGGGTTGCGTTAGGTAGTCGACAGTCAGCGTAAAACTTGTCGAATAATTATAACATGAATCCTTTAATATATTGTATTAAAGCTAGGACGTTCTTTAGAAGCGATGCACTGTATGACCTGAATACAGTGAGAAGTGTGCAAGGGTCGCTGCATTGGTGCCTGGATGCAGTGTTAAATTGAAAAGGGTTCCCATATCATGGACGGATGTGGGCAAAGAAGCCAATCCATGAAACTAAAATTATGTTAGAATCGTGGAATGTTAGGATCATGGAATGTAGGTTTCTTTACAGGTAAACTAATGGAATTAATTGATATTATGATTCATAGGAAGATAAATATTCTATGCATCAATGAAACTAAATGGGTGGGAGAGAAGGCTAAGGAGATTGATAGTTTAGGGTTTAAACTTTGATATTCTGATAGGAGTCGTAATAGAAATGATATACATGTGAATAGAGTTTGAAAGATAATGTTATAAAAATTGATAAAATTGGAGATAGAATTATAGCTTCAAAAAATTATTATTGATGATAAGATTATTAATATTATAAGTGCTCATGCTCCTCAAGTAGTTTTGGATATGTGCTTAAAATTAAAATTTTGGAATAACTTTAAGAATTAATGCAAAAGATACTTATTGAAGAAAGAGTTTTTATTAAGGGATATTTAAATGGTCATGTTGGTAGATAGGTAGGGGATTTTAAAAACATTCATGATGACTATGAGTTTAGAGCGACTAATGAAGGTGGTAAGACTATATTAGAATTTGCTCTAGCTTATGTTTTTGTTATTGCTAATACCTTATTTAAGAAAAGAGATGTGCATCTCATTACTTATAAGAATGTATATAATAAAACTCGAATTGATTATTTTCTCGTAAGAAATAAATTGTTTAGATTGCAGAGATTGTAAAGTTATTTTGAGTGAAAGTCTATGTATCAATATCATTTATTAGTTTTGGACTTTAAAATGAAAGGGCATAGTAAGAAAAATATAGTATATCATTGTTCTAAGATTCAATGGTGACATTTAAAGAACTCGAACAAAAATATCTTTAAGAGTAAGTTTTTTGATCTTATAATTTTGTTGGTGCATTAGATGCTAATGTTATGTGGAAAATAGTAGCTTGTAGTATTAAGAATGTTGCAAAGGATGTGTTTGGAATATTAAAAGAAAAAAAGCTTTTAATAGTTAAAATTGTTGGTGGTGGAATCAAAATGTGCAAGAAAAGATAAAAAATAAGAAGCTATGTTATAAAAATTAGTTTAGATGTAAAAATTCTGAAAATTGAAAAATATATAGAGTTTCCCCTGAGGAGTCTAAAAAAGCATTCTGTGAAGACTTTAGCTTTTAATGATTTATATAATATATTAGATACTAAAGAGGCTTGATGTTGTTGTTGTTGTTGTATTAGATACTAAAGAGGGTGAAAGACATGTATAAGCTAGCCAAACAAAAAGGTAGGAGTAGTAAGGATTTAGTTCAAGTGAAGTGCATTAAGGATGAAGATCAAAAAATATTTTTTTTAGAAGAGGATATTCAATAAAGGTGGATGAGATATTTTGCTAATGAAGATTGTGAAAATACGATTGACTTTAGTGACCTTAGCACTCTAAATGAAAATCGAGTTTTTTTTTGTTTTTATCGGCTTATTACTAAAATTAAAGTTAGAGAGGGTTTAAAAAAAATGAAGTGTGGGAAAACTATTAGACTTGATGATATTCCAATAGAGGTGTAGAAATGCTTAGGAGATGAAAGAATTTCTTGGCTTACTAAAATTTTTAATATTATTTTGAAGACTAAAAAGATGCTAGATGTTTGAAGAATGAGTTTGTTGATTCCTATAAAGAATAAAGGTGATGCACAAGATTGTGCAAAATATAGAGGAATTAAGTTGATGTGTCATATTTTAAAACTATGGGAGAGAGTTATGGAGCATAAGTTACGACGTGATATTACTGTTTCTCAAAATCAATTTAGATTCATGCTGGGTAGGTCTACTATGACAGCCATACATTTATTGAGAGATTTAACGGAGAAGTATAGAGAGAAAAAGGAAGATTTTTATATGATGATTATTGACTTAGAGAAAGTATATGATAAAGTTCCAAGAGAAGTGCTATAGGGAGTTCTAAAAAAGAAAGGGATTAATAATGCTTATATTCAAGTCATTAGGGATATGTATGCTGGAGTTGTTACTTGTGTTCAAACACAAGATGGTTTGACCAAGTATTTTCTAATTTCAGTTGGATTTCATCAAGAATCAGCCTTAAGCCCATATCTTTTTGCTTTAGTCATGGATGTTATTACTAGAGATTTGCAAGAGAATGTTCCCTGGTGTATGCTTTTTGCTGATGATATTCTTCTTGTTGATAAAACTAAAGAGGGAGTTGAAGGTAAACTAGAATTATTGAGGTCAACCTTAGAGTTTAAAGGTTTTCGTTTGAGTAGATCTAAAACCGAATACATTGAGTGTAATTTTTGTAGTAATAGATCTAGTGGGGGGTTTGTGACTTTGAGCGATCAAGTCATTAATAAAGAGTACACGTTTTAGATATCTTGGGTTTATTATTCGGAGTGATGGTGAAATAGATGGGGATATTATTAGTAGAATTCAAGTTGGATGGATGAAGTGGAGGAATGCATATGGCTTGTTGTGTGATAGAAAAGTATAACTCAAACTTAATGGAAAATTCTATAAGATGGTGGTTAGATCTGCAATGCTTTATGACACAAAATGTTGGTCTTTAAAAGAGAAGCATAATATTAAGTTAAGTGTTGTAGAGATGATGATGCTCAGGTGGATGAGTGACTTTACTCTTAGAGATAGGCTCCATTACATATAAGATTAGAGAGAGTCGCCTTAGATGGTTTGGTCACATAAAACGGTGGTCTTCCGATGACCCAGTTAGGAGAGTAGATGTATTAGATTTAACCTATGTTAAGAAAGGTAGAGGTAGAACTAAAAAGACTTGGTTAGAAACTATTAGAAATGACCTTTCTTTATTAGAACTAAATGAGAATTTGACTCTTTAACCGAAAACAATAGAGAAAAAAGGTTTCTTGTAGTTGACCCCTCGTAGTGGGATAAAGGCTTTTTGTTGTTGTTGTTGTTGTTGTTGCTGTAGAATGTTATGGTATGACTCTATTTATTTTGGAAGTAGTTTAGTATGATATTGATACTATTTGTATGTTTTTTTTTTTATGCTAATCGTATGTGTTGTTGGAAGTCTATTTTTGTAAGTTCTATTAGTTTATGTTGCATATGTTCATAATGTTTATATTATTGTGATGTTAACATGTGAAATGCGTGACCTATTAGTAGTATTGGTTACACCATATGGATATGGTGGAGTATATGTATAATAACTATACCTATTCCCTTCTTGCGGATAGGCAGACTCGCTAGAATAACAACTATATATGTTCTACTCAAGTACTTGTAATTTTCTCATGTAGCTATCTAGTACTTTCGACCTCGATCACCTATAAGGGGTTTTACCCTTTGCCAAAACTCTATTCCTTTGGATTTTCCTAAAATTTCTCTCTCCTAAGAAGTGATCAACTAGATTCTTGTCAATCTAAGCCACTTTAAGCGAATCTCTGTACCAAAATCAACCCAATAACTTTGAGAATCAAAATTTTCTTAAATAAACATGATTAGAAATAACTTTTTGTTATTACATTTAAATGAGAATTTGACTCTTTATGAGATAAAATGGAAAAAAGGATTCATGTAGTCTACCCCACATAATGGTATAAAGGCTTTATATTGTTGTTGGTGTAAATAAACATGATTAGAATTGATCTTGTATTTTTCTTCTTGGTTTATTTTCTTCTTACTAATAATATATATAAATATTTTGATTTTTTTTTTTGCTTAGAGTGAAGAAATCACATGTGATTTTTACTATCTTTATTATTTCTTTGTGCAATATGTTTAATTTTTTATGAAATGATCTTTTTTGGATTTTTTTGCTACTATGCTATGCAGGCGTACAGCTCTATCTTCTAATTTATTTATACTAGATCTGTTAGGTTTGTTATCAGATCTCCCTGCATAATTTGAGGAAGGTTCACAAGGCGCACATGCTTGGCTAATCTAGCTTCTATCCACTTCTTGATTCACTGAGATTTTCTTATTTGCATGTTTCTATATTCGAGAATCTAAAGAGATTTGTTTTTGTTTTTTTTTTGTTTTTGGATTTCTCTATTGGTGATATGAAACTGCTCCCCTTTAACTTTGTATTCATTTATTGAGGACTTATTTTTTCCTGTCCAATTTGTTATTATACTTATAATTTTATTTGGATTTTCTATTCTTTAACTTGAATTATTAAAAAAAAATTATTACTAAATGCTTATCTAATCTACTACAGCACTTAGTGGCTAAAGGTGGTCATAGGCCTTTCTGGAACTATAAAGCCATATGGTGCCTATCAAGTTCCCAAATCGTTGCATCTTGTCACCAAATTTATTTTTTGAAATATGCTATTAGGACTGAAAATTTTGACCGAATATTCAGCCGAATTAGTGGAGTTATCATGAAATGCTTTTTTTTTTTTTGGCTTTTGACCGAACAACATAAGATGAGGATAAGATAGCACTTTTTATCAATTCTACTGATAATTCACCCAGGTTTCACATCAGCATTATTCCTTTTATTTTCTTTATGAAGTAAAATGTTCACAAAACAAACCCACAAAACAAACCATCTCACTGTGTACTGACATCAAATTTACTTTATAGAGTGCAATCATTTTTCCATGTTCTCCTAAAAATATTACAATATTGTAATAAAGTAGCTAGTCATTTAACTATTCTTAGTAGAATGTATATGGTAACTGAAATTTTGAGTCTGAAATCATATACAAGAAAATATTGTTCAAATGTTCAAGTTATATGATTAGAGACATAATAATATATTTTGTTGTTGAAAATCCTTTTCTGCAATTTATCCTAGGTAACATATGCGTTCAGGTACCAGGTTTGCCTAGATGGTTGGATCCCTCACTCATTCGAGTCATCGGATGAGGCGAGACTCGACTCGCCCCATCGCCCCACTTTATTTTGAGATTAAAGCTAAAAAATAAAAACAAATTTTTGCATATAGAAGTTGTTGCTTAAAGGGTGTAATTGCACAGGATGTCACTGGCTCAATGAAGACTATTTGAGAAGAGATTTCTTTTTCTCAGGTAAGTTTTATATTTTTATTGATTGAACTTATAGTGTGCCCACTAAATTATTTTGTCTTAGATCCTCCCCTGTAGATAAATTGTATCATTATAAATAAGTATAATGCTACCTAAATCCAGGAGTATAATTTTTCAACAGACATGCATGTTATCAAACTTAAATTTTAAATTACATGCATACCATTTTATTTTATGCTATTTACATATCTACCATCTAAAATACTAATATTACATGCCTACCATCCATATAAAACTTTAATATTAAATATACCACTCCTATGTTTCATTCATACAACTCATACCACCCTATAAACTTTAATATTTCATTCCATGCACCCATATTTGTTCTATGGGTGGTAGACATGTAATATTAATGTTTCGGGTGTTAGATATGTAAATAGTGTGAAATAAAGTGGCATGTATGAAAATTCTAGATCTGCCTCTCTTAGCTTCCAATTGATAATATGCATTTCTGTAGATAAATTGCATTATTATGAATTAAGTATGATGTTACCTGAATCCAGGAATATAAACTTGCCGTATAGCATGAGAAACATTAATCTTTTGCTCTTCTTGCAGCAGAAAAATACTCTTTCCTTCATCATAGCTGCTGCCAAAAGCAACCCTGGAGATGACATCTGCTGTGAAATTGTGAAGCTCTTTGTGGACTTCTATTTCAAATGTCGCCTTGCCTTCGTTTTCTTTGTCCCATTTGCTTATCATCCTCAAAGTGCTGGCTACCATTACAGGTACCCACTCCTGCAATGCAATCAAGAGTTTTTTTATATGTTTATTTATCAAGTTGAAATATTGCAAAACGATTTGATATTTGATCGAGTGAGTGATATTGATTGGTATTGTTCAGCCAAGTGTATAAACACTTTCCTTCAATGGAATTCATGAACTACTTGCTATTAGATTTATGAACTAATTGAGTTCAATCATGTTCTGTATTGGCACTTCAAAATATTACTATAAATCTGGTTTGAAGATCATTGAGAAAGTTGTATTTGACTCGAATCGAACTCAGAAAGAAGCTAATGAATTGATTAATGCGGTTAGTCAGGTTTAGGTTGAGGGCTCGATTGTTTGTTTGTTTTTACTACTTTTTTCGTCTGGCAATAGTAAAGTAGAAAAAAATTATCTATTCGATAAAATTATTTTTTCTTAAACACGTTCTGAATACTGTTGTTTTTGTACTGTTTACAAAAGCTTAGATTTATGATATTAATTTCTCCGCTAGAAAACTTAGTTATCTCAAACAATAGTTTTAAAACTATCTTTAAGGAAAGTTATAGAATAATCAAACGAAGCTTGAATTGAGCTTGAATTGGATCAAGCTGGCTTAATATTGGATGAAATGTGTATAAATTCATGTATGATTACAGCTTCGTTTGGAACGGCTTTTTTCATGCTGCTTGAAACGGATTTTTAATAAAAAATTAAATTTTTCTGTCCTAAAACTCGCTTTATGAAACATTAAAAAAGCCGTCCCAAACGAAGTCTACATGTTAAGGTCATTAGTTTATAAGAAAGTTAGCAAAAATCCTTGTTAAGAAGTTAGGCATACAATGCCAGTCTTTTCAAGGAAAAAACAAATGGTCAAAATAGAAGCCTTGAAAGGAGTCAACAAACCTTTTTATAGAATAATGTGTGTCACTGTCAATACTAAAGCAGTAAGTTATTTGACAATTTAGTGTTTAGGAAATAAGATTAGTGGGAGCTTACATTTTTGAAACACTTGGTCCCATATATTCTTCAAATAAGTGGTGCACGTGTTGGGGCCCACTTGTACTATTATATATAAATTTATTATTATTTTTAAAAAATATATATCTAATATTTTATATAATAATTTAACATAATAATTTAAAAAATTAATTATATTTACTTCAAAGTAGTTTTACTCTTTAAAATAGTTTTTTAATACAAAAATTTTAATTTTTATATTAAAAATTTACTTTAAGAAGCAGTAAGAAAGTTATTTTAGCTTATAGAAAAAAAATATGAATATATGTATTAAGTATTAATACTCTATAATTAATGCATCTAATAAGCATTCTCAAGCACTTAAAATTGAAAAGAAATTACTCACTATTACTTTTTTCCATTTGAAGTTACAATAATTTTCTTGATGCTTTTCCAAAATTTAAGCTAATTCATAAGGAATCTAAAGGTTATTCTTTAGGGCACCAATTAATATTCAAGGAAATAACTCAATAGAGCTTCTTATTAAAATCTTTTATAAATAGTGGAAAGTCTTATCATCATTTAGTGTATTTTAAATATATAATTGTTGGTCATAGGTCTCTATACAAAATAGAAGCTTATATATGAATACAAATCTAAATATAAAAATGTTTTAGAACATTAAAATTTAATTAAAAGCTAATTACAATTAATTAATTATTAATTATATAATGGTGGCTCATACTTCATTTTCACGTGACCTATAAATTAATACTTTCATTAGCATAATCATACTTCATTAATTAATTATCTACTAAATGCTCTAAGTGCTTATTTATAATAATTTTTTTTTAATATTTGCTGCGTAAGCATCCACCATTATTCCAACCCCTTTAATTAAACCTATAAGTGTGAAGAATGGAGGTGTAAAGAAACTAAGGTGGAGTCTCGAGCTTATCGATGCAGAAGATTAATGCACTAATGATCTAGCTAAGATACTTTCTTAATTATAATTAAGCATTCCAATGCAGTCCTTAGGATCATAATTAATTATTGATTGATTCTTAATTAAGCAGTAGTAATTAACTATTAAGCACCGTACTAGCAGTGGTAGATGAGTTGATTAATGCTTAAATGAGATCATATGGGATAGCATTACTGTTTATTAAATTATTGATTGTTGACAACTAATGAAGCATATATAGCTTGTAATGCATAATTTGGTCGTGCTAATTATTTTTTAAATTTTTTGTAATGTTTATCTAGTTGACATACTTATGAACAATGTATATTTACATAATCACCCCTAGAAGTTCCAATACTTTTTATTTTCTTGCTTGTCTATTGATCATCTAGTGTCCTAGCTATATGATTAATTAATGTGTCCTAGCTATATGATTAATTAATGTAAGTTAATAATCTCTCTCTCTCTCTGACGGGAAAAACCGTTCAAATTGTTGTGTATTTACTGGTTGTTTGCTGAGTATTCGTAAATACTCAGCAAATGCAAAACAAGTCAGCTATTAATCACTAAATATTCAACAAATACTCAGTAAATATACAACAAATCTGAACTATTCTCTCCGTCCAAACTCCACACGTAATGATTTCTACTCTCTTTGAGTTTTAAATCATGCAAGTAAAAGAACATCCATATATGGAAATAGGTTATTGGACAATTAGGCTATTATTAATGGACAATGCTAGGGTTGATCTTAGTGCATGAGCCAAAAGCAATCAATTTTGAGCATTATATTTTTCAAAATTAAATTTCTTTGCAACACAAAAATTTAAAGTTATGAATTGGTGTTAATTAACCAGCATTTTAAAAACATCATATTATAAAAATATGAGATAAAATTAAATACATGTGATTATGTTTTAATTAATAACCACCTTCTCACAAGAAAGTTCTAAAATGTTTGGCAAACACGTTCGGAGGTGAATTCGGACGCACCATGACACCGAATGCACTGGCCCTCGGTGATGTGGTGCATCCGAATTTGCCTCTGGATGCGTCTAGACACCACACAGAATAATTTTTTTCTTTAAAAGCCCTAAATCATCATAAGAATATTCAATTATAATATTACTTATGAGGGAGAATAAATAAATAAAAATTAAGCCTAATATTTCATAAGGTATATTAATTTTAACGAAAATTTTAAATTTATAAATGAGAAAAAAATAATTTGATATTTTCACGCTAATATATTACTATAATTAAGATTATCAAATCACTTTGAAATTTGCATGAGACGTTGCACGTGACGGCGTCAAAGGGCGTATTAGTCTTGAATTTTGCCTTCGGATTAGCAGACCATCTTAAAGTACTGTGTATAAAATAAAATATGAAATTCTGGAAGGTCAATTGTAATAATAATTTATGATGAATGCTATTAAATTCTAATATTTTTTTAATATTAATTTAATTTATATTATATATCATTAAATATGATATTCTTAAATTTTATTTTTCTTCCATATAATATTCCACATAAATAGTTTATTATGCTTACTAATTAAAATAACATCTCTAATAATAAAATATCTAATTATTTATTTCAATCAAATCTAATCATATGTGAAAAAAATGAGAATATTATAGCCTTTAAACTAAAATAATTCTATTATTTTAAAACAAGAAGATAATTTTATTTATTTAATTAAATAAAATTTTATTTTTTTGCATGCATCTTATCAAATCTATATGAGAGAGAGAGAGAGAATATAAGTATTTAAAAAAAAAGTGCCATAGAGTCTTGATATAAACTTATATCAACGATTAAGATAAATAATAAAAAAAAAGTATTATATTTGATCATAAATTCATGATAACACAACTTTATCCTACAATAAAAAAAATAATAATTTGAATATCATAATGTAACACAAAACAGTTATCTTCTAATTATTTTATAAATATATTATATTTTTAATCAAATATATTTATTTTCCTTTTTCACTCATATCATAACTTTTTAAGGATATTTAGGTCAATTAAGACGAATACACACATTACATCTGCGCGCAATACTCCCAAGACCACTTAGGGTTCATTTGAATCAACTTTCTTAATGCTTTCTAAGGCTTTGTTTGAGACCGCTTTCTTATTGATTCTTAAAGCAGTTTTTTAATATAGAAAAATTAAGTTTTAAACTAGAAAGCTGCTTTAAGAAGCAGTAAGAAGGCCATACAAAATGAAGCCAAAAACAATATTTTAGTTAAAAAATTTTTTAAATTAGAATTTTTTGTACTAAAAAATTGTTTTATAACGAATGCAATGAGAAATCTGTCACAAACGAAATCTTAGTTGAAAGCCAAACCTCCGAACCAAAATATATAGCATAAATTTAGACAATCAAAATTTGATGTATGGATGCATATTGTGAATTACCTTAACACGCTCCATGTTGAAAGCTGGGCTAATAATCCTCCTATGCTTTGCCCACTTTTGTCCCTTCAATCTAAACAAGCCATCTCCAAGCAAACACTTAACAAGAGGAGACTCTTGCATCCTCTCGAACACTCCTGCTCCACTACTTGTATTCAACAGCACCTCCTTCACCATCTCCGGCTCGGCGAAGGCTAGATGCGGCCGAGTGCCGAACCAAAACAGGAAAGTCTTGCCGTGCACGACCGACCATAGCGCGTATCGTGGATCCACCCGCCACAAAATATCGTGGCTGAGTTCCGGCATCGGCCGCGACATGGCCGCTGCGGTCAACTCGCGTATGTCCCTGGCGTTTCCGATGATGGGACGGTATGGCGGGCCGGGGATGCCTTGGCGGCGGAAGTGGAGCTGGGTTCGACGAGGGATCCATAGGATGGTGTGGAAGAGGAGGAGGAAGGTGGTGGTGAGAGGGAGGAGGAAGAGAAGGAGAGGGTGCATGGCCTGGTGTGGTTGCACCGTTGCACTAATATTAGCTTTGGACTAATTATGAGATTCTTATAGTTATCTTTGGGTTGAGATGGCCACTTTATTTCTTGATTGAGCATTTCACTCCTCTTTTCGAGGAGAAATTATTATGTACCGTTGTATATCGGGTGGCGTGACGCATCCTAAATAGTCTTCGAATTGTCCAGTGACTGCACGTAATAATTTTTTTCTTTAGAGAGTGATAATTTGAAGTCGTAGTACACTTTGATCTGGTGGTTGAAAGTTTTGACTATATATTAAGAGATTTTGGTGGGATTCAAAAGTTGCATATATTATGGGTATGAATTTATCTTAATTGACCTAAATATTCCAACAAAAAAATTGAACTCACTTTATCTCTTCAACTTAAAAAAATTTGATTATAATGATTTTATAACTCTTAAAATTATTTTGAAATAAGTATAATAGATGAATAATTTATTAGTTATTTCTTATATTATGTTAATATTAAAATAAATCTAAATACTTTAAATCTCATACCCAAAAA